GTTCAAGATTTATACATGAATCACATGAAGGATGTTCGTGAAATGCATCCACTTACTGAGATAGAGAAGCAAGGTTTCCAAAATAGTACTACGTGCCATATTTGTGGAAAGCCATTCAAGCCAACAGATATCAAAGTTCGTGATCACTGCCACCACACTGGAAAATTTCGTGCAGCTGCCCATAGTGTTTGTAATTTGAACTACAAGACCTCAAAGACTATTCCAGTATTCTTCCACAACCTCACAAATTATGATTCTCATCTTTTCATCAAGAAATTAGCAACGAAAGGAGAAAGAATATCAGTGATAGCCCAAACTAAAGAAAAGTATATTTCGTTCTCCAAGTCAGTATTGGTTAATAAATCTGAAGTGTCAAGAGTATTTGATGAATATATTCAGTTGAGATTTGTAGACTCCTTTCGATTTTTACCAAAATCTCTCGACAAACTCAGCAAAAATTTAGAGGTGCAGCAGTGTAACGAGGTTCGGAAATACTTCCAAGATAACAAACAATTTGATCTAATAAGACAAAAAGGAGTTTTTCCTTACAACTATGTGGACTGCTTGGAAAAATTGAAAGAAACTCAACTACCGCCGAAAGAAAAGTTCTATAATGAATTAACCGGCGAATCACTTTCAGACATGGATTATAATAGAGCTATAGATGTGTGGAATACCTTCGAATGTAAAACATTGGGAGATTACGCCGATGTTTATTTGAAATCCGATTGTCTGCTGCTAGCGGACGTTTTTGAGAATTTCAGAAAATGCTGCATGCAACAATACAAGCTAGATCCTGCCCACTATCTGACAGCACCTGCACTGAGCTGGGATGCTATGTTACGTTATACACAAATTGAACTTCAGCTCTTGACTGATATAGATATGATACATTTTTTCAAGAAGGGTATTCGAGGAGGGGTGGCACAATGTAGCAAAAGAAGAGCTGTGGCAAATAACAAATTCCTACCAAACTTTGATTCTCAGAAACCAACATCATACATCATGTATTTGGATGCAACAAATTTATATGGAGCAAGTATGGCAAGTCATCTTCCAACAGGTGATTTTAAGTGGGTCGAGTCTGAGGATATCGAAAACTTTGACTGTCACGCGATCGAGGACGACTCATCAAAAGGATACGTTTTAGAAGTGGACTTGGAATATCCAGCCAACCTACACCATGATCACAACGATTTACCATTTTGCCCAGAACAAATGATCCCGCCAAAGAGTAAGAGTGCCAAACTGATCCCCAATTTACGAAACAAATGGAAATACATTATACATTACCGAAATTTGAAGCAGTGTTTGATATATGGTTTGAAACTAGAGAAAATCCATAGAATCTTAGAATTCTCCCAATCGGCGTGGTTGAGGCCATATATTGACCTGAACACGCACCTCCGGAATTCCGCAGTAAACGAATTTGAACGAGAACTCTTCAAATTATTGATAAATTCAATATTTGGAAAAACCATGGAAAATGTCGACAAAAGAATTGACTTGCAACTTTGCTCACGCTGGGAAAATAAGACAAATTCTCTGGGGGCAAGGGCTTTGATAGCCAAACCACATTTCAAATGCAGTACAGAATTCAGTGAGAACTTGGTTGCAATTCAGTTGGAAAAGACTAGTGTATGTTATGATAAACCGATGTATGTTGGATTTTCGGTATTGGATATTTCGAAAACTGTCATTTACGATTTTTTCTATGGATATATCAAAGCAAAATATGGTGATAAAGCAACATTATGCTACACCGATACGGATTCATTAATTCTAGAAATATTCACAGAAAATTTCTATAATGATATGAAAGAAAATATCCAATTTTTCGATACGTCAAATTATCCCATAGACAATATACACCAAATCCCCAAATCGAAATCTGTTATAGGACGCATGAAAGATGAATATGCCGCAAGACCTATTGAATCTTTCTATGGTACTGGTGCGAAAGCATACTGTGTAAAAGCAGGTGATGTGATGAAAAAAGCCAAAGGTGTCTCAAAAAACGTGGTCAAAAACCAAATTCAGTTTTCAGACTATGTGAATATTGTAGAAAATGGTGGAACAATATTACGTAAGATGTATATGTTCACTTCTTCTCTCCACACCATTCATACGGAATTAAGAAATAAAGTCGCTTTGTCATCTGCTGATGATAAGCGTTATAAAATTCCTTCTGATGTGAAAACTTTGGCTTGGGGTCATTTCCTTATAACACCAGGAGCTATCACTGGAACTTTAGATGAGTTTTTGGAAATAGCTCAAGATTTGATTGACGAGGAAGACTCTGACCAATAGTTTTGATGTGATTTTCATTTGTATATTGTAATTATGGATTATAATATGTAGTATTTGTGACATATGAAATAAAAATCATTATCGAGTGAATTTGTTTTATTACATTTATTCAATACAAAATATTAATATTATCCACATCGCTCGAGGCCCCATCTACAAACATGACAGCTTGATTGTGCTTGAGGAAGGCCGTCTACATGATCTCTCCATTCAGGGCGATTGAAGTGGACAAAGCATGGTAGCTGGATACGAAGTTCAAAATTCTCTGTATATTTTGATGGCAGTTTGTCCCATGCATAGAGAAGTTCCATCGGACCTACATTTTTAATAAGATAATGTAGTGGAAAATTCTGGAGCTCTTCTTCGGTAAAATCGTACAATTTTTTATTTCGGTTTCGGTGTTTATTCACGAGTTCGGTCAATAAACAGTTAGGACAATCTTTAGACATGTTGTAACAATGAGGTTGAACAGCAACAATGATGCACACACTGCTGTGTAGTACGTAACCCAATCGACTATTCTGAATTCCGCATCATCCTTCATTATATTTGTATCATGGTGTAGTGGGGGGGAGGGATTTAGTTCACACCAGTCAGAATCAATGGTGGAGCCACTGCCCTTTCGCAATCGCAACTTGTACATAGTGCTATTGGTGGGTATGAGTGATTTGAGAGTTGAAACATTATTTATTGTAGTTGATTCCATTCTTGCCCATTTAGAAGGCCAACTTTCATTTCGTGTACCATCACTATCGAAACATATGAATACTTCTCTTATATTATAAGGTTTTGCGATATAGAGAAAGCCTTGAAGAATCACTTGTAAAACTAAACATTGTGGTGTGATCATGGTCACAACTTCTGATAAACTGAAATCATCATCTACTTTCAAGTCATATTTATTGAAACTGGTAAGATACAGGATATTCATTTCATTTATCAAAGTCTCATTTTCCCGTTACATTAGGAAATCTATGCTGATTCTGAAATACTTTTTCATCCCAGACTTGCTGTTCTTCTAGGGTCAGCATATTTTTAATTTGACTATGCCGTATTCTCTCATCCATTCGGAATTTCCGTTTTTCCCTTCTGCTCTTGCCAGGTGGTGGACATCTGATAATGTCTTTGTCCTCGACATTCGGTACATAAGTGGAATAATCATCATTATCCCAGTTCTCTTCAATTTTCTCCGTTTTTTCAGAAATGTTCATGGTTGGGGGACAGCAGTACTAATGAAGGATCCTTCGCGTAAGATCTGACGACTTTTATTGGCCTCGTTTGCTTGCAAAGACGTTTGCACAATTCAATTGTCAATTTTGGTCTGCTCAACCAACAACCACTTGATAGATATGTTCGATTGATAATTTTTTTGCAAACACAACACTGTTTTGTTTCGACCACACGATAATCACCACTTTGTATAAATATATCCAATAAGTCTCTATCTTGCATGTTCACTAATGAAATCAAGACTACACCAGAGTATTTATAGCCAAACTAGAAGGAAGTGTTCAATTTGAAAATTATCACACAATTGAAGATAATTAGTCTGATGAATCCATTGATTAATTCATCTGATGGAGCATTTCGTTAATCAATATAAATTAGTCTGATGACCTTTGCCCGGTCATCAATTAACATTAATAAATATCAATTGAAGCTGTAATGATTCTCTCAATATATATCGAGCGCTGTGATTGGTTGCCTGATGCCGTGATGCCGGTAATGATTCTCTCAATATATATCTACTGCTGTGTTTAATGAACTGCGTTGCCATGGAAATGTGTTTAAGAAATCGTGTTGCCATGGTAACGTGTTTAATATTTCGAATAAATCACAGATCGACAATACGTGATTAATCGATCATTTAGCATGGTACATATCCGTACGCTAAATGCCATTTTAGTTATGTGAGTAGAAAAACATATATTATGCAATGCTGATGATGAATCTGTACTCATCTGTGACATTTAAGTTAATGTTAGTTAGTTAATGGGATAGAATGGAGTAAAATATTCCGATTTGTTTTGATGTTTGTTGAATGACGTTAAGGTCATCATCCTGCCCCGGTATCTCGTTACATTCGGAATAAACGTCAGTAAAAGTACCGAATAAATAAAATCATCCAGTACGAGATGGTTTCTCTGAGACGAACTCCTCAATCTGTTCTAGTCTACCAAATTCAATCCACTGCGTCTCAGCAGTCTAGTTTAGTCTAGAAATGAGATACTTTCTATCCAGATCCTGAAGAATTCCTGAAAACCGATTATCAATATGTTTCTCTGTAAAAACCATCTAATCAAAGATATTGATAATTATAAATTGGTAATTGACAATTTCATATCTTCGATAATAATGAAGTTACCAATGGTAGCATGCGGACACTAAATTTCGAAAACTGTAAAATATAATGGGCATAAATTGAACCATACGATGTGACCGGTTGCACATCATCATTATCCGTTCTGTGATTTCATATGGAATTGAGTAGTAGTATCGGGATTCCAAATGAGAATATGAAGATGAATTTTCCATATGCTCGAAAAGATGATTACCCTCCTATGCAGATACAGTTGAACATCCTAGACCCAACTCCAAATATTATGATATAGAAGAAGTGAAAACATGCAGTTGTTAAATAAATATGAGTTATTAAAATGCATGTTTCTATGTAGAATGCTTAAATTCACCTGACACAAAGTTTTGGATTGCAGGAACGACTTTATCATATCGCAAACATCTCAGTACCAAGAGCTTCTGGAATAAGTTCAGCTTCGTATCCCAAGGCGGTGGCAGTGGACAATCCTGTGGTTCTCCCGAGTCGAATACCACTTTCCATTTGTTGGAGTTTGCTGAGAAATGTTGTATGATACCTCTGTTGGAAAAAAGTAATCAGCTAATCAATTTTATTGATAAAATTGATATAGTGTACTCACACGAAATCTGGTAAATCGTTCAATCGACACAGTTCATCCCAGGATTTCGTGACGAGCCAGTCTGTGGGATTGATGTGAGGGTTATCTAGACCAACACCGCCAGTCAGCAGAAACATCCATTCTGACGTGTCAATTTCATCACGGCTTTTCATCAAATTGATTGATAACAGGAGAGAGTACAGCAGTTTATCCTATGAAAATATAAGGCATTCTTCATCATCGATTGTTTATAGAGATTTGTATAGGATTTGTTCCATCCGAATCAATTTCTGATACAATTTAACAACCAGATGCTATCCGATATTATGTACAAGTATGAAGGTGATGATTTATATGGAAAGGAAAACTCCGGAAGAAGTCGTTAGGCTGATTTTGATAATTTATTTGTAGCAATTGGAATGAAATCATACACAATCAATTGTCGGCTTTCGAAAGAAGTGCTTTCATTTGGAAGAGACAATAATCCATGATCATTGGGCTTTAGTTTTTGCACATGTTGAATTTTGTACAGATACCAGCACAAATCGTGTTGTGGAATCTGCTGAGTTGGTTCATACGTGAGGTCCAGACAAATTGAGATTTTTGCGAACATTTTGTCTCACAGCTTCAATCTGTGCAAGTGACTTGATTTCTCACAATTCTCACACGTTTGCCTTCTGAATTTCTGTACACTTGGCTTGGTCGATGATGTGGACCATAACATGTACGTTCTTCAAAATCCTAGAGCACTCAAATTCTATATCAATTCCTCTAGCACACTATAAAGTATCACCACTGATCAAACCAATTCTTGAATTCCTTTGACACATGTTTCGCAAACTCTCTCAGTGTCTCGAGGAGGATATTCCAACTCATTGTCCTATTCTGAAATTATACTTGAATATATCAGCCGTATGTTAACTTGACTATGAAGAATACTGTTAACTTTTCTCAAATATTTTCAGGCCTCCATCCATATGCATCTTATTTCCTGACCTCCCAACTTGTTTCAGCATTTCATTTCTGTGCTATCATTTGAACCTATATTGAGTCTCCTAGACTGGTCTGACTACATATGTCTTTTTACAATCAATTAAACTGTGAATCACCAATCCTCCAAGTGTTTCACTCATTTTTCATTGTCCAATAAATCACCTAGCTACCTTCAAAGTGAATATATCAGATAGTAAATCTTTTGAACCCCAGAAAAACATTGTGGTTCTTAACCAACTTGAATATGTTGAATTTCAACACTATAGTAACACATCGCGAATAAGTCAGTGAACCCCCTACTATAGCCTTCAAATAAGGTCTATATGTATTGGAAGAAAACGATTGAACCATCTATACTTTTCATCATGCGAACCTCATTCTCATCAGGATACAAAAACGCTTTGGAATCCCAATCATCTTTAATCCACTTTAACTACTTGGGTGCACTCGGAATTTATCAAAAGTGGAATTTTTTGTGATGTTCCACCCACTTGAACATTCGTGGAATTTCTGAGAGTATTTCGGGAAAAGAGAGACGAGAATTGCACATTATCTATGTCTGTTTATTTCCAGTCTGTTTCACTACATTGTACTCACTTTTTCGAATAAACTGCGACATATATTCAGGTAGAGCGAGTAGGTGAAATACTTCTCGAGGTCGATCAACCTCAAGGCAACATCTTCCACTTTGTCAGTATTGTCAATTCCAGCTTTATACAGATTGATGAACCACACAAGTGAATATTGATACATTGGATCAATATTAGCCAAATCAGCTGAAACAATAAAACGATTATCATACGTAGGTGTAACTCTAATTGAGGTCACTCACCGATAGTGAAAAAGAGAATTGTAGAATGAATTGCAATCGGTGTATACTCCATCCTTGCTTTGTCTATTTGTATCTCCGTAACCTCTGCTATAGCTTGCTTGGCAGCGATCTCATTGGAAAGGATCTTAGAGGAACTGAGGATTTGTACTGCGGTTTCATCCTCCAAAATGTTACCTTGAGAGGTACTTAAGACTTCTAAGATCTTGTCCTCGATTTCCTTCAGTGCTCTAAAAGTTGAATGGTTATATCTGTTTATAATATTCTTCTATTAGGCCTATTATGTCTTATGTCTTATGATGTCAGAGAAACTCAAAACTTTGAATATTTGAATATTACAGAATGACGGTGGTTTGAAATAGTATCAAAGTCGTTGGATACAGTATTAATCGTGGATCAGTAGTATCAGTATCAAGTACCAGAAGAGGAACATTGGGCGTGCTACGTGTATAAAGCGAACTATATACCACATTCCAAATAAGAAGTTAGTAGGTGGCGCTCCTCCTGAAGGCATGATTACCCTGATAAAATAATTGTAAGACCAATCCAATGATGGTTGAATTTCAATGTACGAAAAATATTTGGAATTTTATGATGTGGACATCTTCCCATGAAGAAAACTTCAACCGTTACGCCACGGCGTAAGTCATAATATTAGGCAAGTGTAATATTGCCTCCGAAATAAACCAATGAAAGCAAAAATCAACGCTTTTTTATGACTCCCAATGCTGTCTTGTTAGTTGAAATGAACAATAGGAGTGGACGATTACGATTAACAATCCTCGGATATTTCTGAAATTATCAAGAATTATCGAAAATTATCGAAAATCATCGATATAATCATCGACTTATCGATATTATCGATATTATCGATATATCGGTAAATTTGCCTACCAGTACTACGAACTACGTTACGAGAGGTAGATCATGCTCAAAAGTTCTTCATCGATGCACACAACTTCTGATTTATGAACCAGGAATAATACGAGATATCCAGAGAACCAAGGAAGCTTAACATGATGTGATTATCAATACAGACAGAAATCATCATCAAAACAGTCGAATATGGAAATGATTATGATGTAGGAATTATTCAGAGACTCGAAAAGAGCTTGGCACAAAGAGAAATCTGATTAGTCTCGAGTAGAGGTTCATAATATTTTCTTATCCAAACATTTTCCAAACAAGGTGTCACAAGTATTGATCGAATTTCGTTCTTAGGTTCATGATAGTGAGATTCCAAGAACAAAGAGATTTTGGGTAATATCTTCTGATATGTTTTTACTACTATATACCTGTAGTGAGGACGAAATATACTTATATCTTCATGTATACAAACAAAACAAAGAATCCCAAAAATCGAGGAAAAATAAATCAATTAGTTGACTTCCATTGATGAAGCAATTTATTTCATTCCTAACTATCAGTTTGCGAAGGCCACTTCTCAGTTTCACTATTTCAATTCGCAAGTATCTCTAATAAATATTCCGTCCTGGAAATGATATTGGTTATTGGTTATAATGCTTTCGACAATATCGAAAGAAAGTTTGAAGTAGGTAATGATATTCAATATCAAAACGGAGATGAAGAGGATATTATAAGAATCGGATATTGCATGAAATTATAGAATGTGGATGAATCATTCATTATATTGATACAAGGAATGGGTAGTTTCAAGTTGCAGAATTTGGAGTTATCTTACAAAATTTCCTGGTACGTTTCAAGATATTTCCAGAAGAATAATAGTCCAGGCTTATTAGTGATCTAGCTTCTGTTTGCGACGCTTTCTAGGTTGTGCTTTAGATTTTAGAAGAGGAAGAGGAAGATCGAAAACTTCACAGGAATGGATTACGTGATGAACCCTGTATAAACATGACGAGGCTAGGTGTACATTCATTCATAATACAAGTCATACTGAGTACATCTGTCGGTTGATATTGAGTTTTTTCGAACTTATTGACATATTTATATACCTCTTATTTTCTGCACCTTGAAGTATCAACGCATTCTTCTCTGCTTCTAAATCTGGCCTCTCTTTAGCAACTGTAATGCCCAACAACTGATCTTGTAGACCGATACTAGTTATCATGAAGTTAACCAATGTTACTTTCACAGCTACTTCAGGAAGATAATGCGGATTCCTGAGCTTTGTTGTGATATACAACCTGAAACAAGTGCCGTGTCAATGTTTCGGCATAAGAGTATCGGGTTATTAGTACTTGAAATCACTGCTATATTCAACCACAGAATCGCCAAGTTTCATACATAGAGCACCACCTTGTTTGAATATTTGTTGGGCGAGAACTGGTTCAAGTATAGGATCCAGCTCCTCTCCTATATTCTCTAGAAGTACCTAGAAAATAGTGGAAAGATTGAAAAAGTTGACCATCATTCGATTTGTGTATGGAATACGAACGGGCTGACCAAACTGTATTGCATTCTCTAAAATGCGAACATAGTCTGCCTGATTCAATCTTATTATAGCCAGATTATTCGACCTCTCCATATTTTTTATCCATTTATTAGCTTGTCCTTGAGGGTCTATTAGTAAAGGATATCTTCTCGCATTACTGAAATGAAAAGAAATAATGAACGGACAAAACGCGAGAAATATTTTCGTTTTTCATTATAAGTATATTTATTTATTCATTCATTCATTTATTCATTTTTATTGAATCAAGTAGAATTGAAATTTTGTCATCAAATATCAATTACATACATGCAGACTTGGGCATATGGGAATACTCAATAAGGTTGAGAGAATTGGGAGAAATGAGGAATAAATTAACATGAATTCATAGATGTTTTGCTAGCCAACGAGAAATTCGGGTGGCGGAAAATTGATCGAAAGACAAATGATAGAAAAAGATTTGATAGAAGTCTTTTGATCGAAAATCAAAAAATGGAAAAAACTTTTCACCGAAAATACATTTGATCGATGTTTTATGATAGAAAATACATTTGATAGAAACCTAAATGATAGAAGATACAATTGATAGAAAAAATATTTGATAGAAAATACACTTGATAGAAACATCATTTAATAGAAAATTCAACGGGGCTACGCTCAAGTTAGGTCAGTTCGCTTGTGAAGATATGATCCTTCCTCATATATTTGAGAAGAAGGAGCTAGAAGTTTGTGGTATCAATAAATTCATGAGCTTCGATTTCCATCTAGCTCCTTCTTCTCAAATATATGAAGAAGGATCATATCTTCACAAACGTACTGACCTAACATGAGCGTAGCCCCGTTGAATTTTCTATCAAATGCTGTTTTTATCGAGTGTATTTTCTATCAAATATTTTCCCTATCAATTGTATTCTCTTTCATTTATGTTTCTATCAAATGTATTTTCTATCATAAAACATTCGATCAAATGCATTTCTATCAAAACCACTTTCAATCAAAAGACTTCTATCGAATGTTTTTCTATCATTTGTTTTTCGATCAAATTTCCGCCACCCGAGAAATTCATAGGCAGGAGATATCAAATACTAATGTAGTCGTAACATAACCAGTGAGGCAGAAGAAATATAAGCTCATAATAAATGCAAGATAGTTCTAGCAATTGGACTGATTGCCAGACAAATCTTGCAATTATATTAATGTTTTGATAAATCTTGTCATTAGGCTAATTGCAAGATTAATTCGTCAGGTTTGGCTCGAATGACAAAATGATTTCGTGACTATAATTTTTAACAGAAAAAAATTAGCCTTTGTAGAAAAGACACTATCTTCAACTTACGAGATAATAATTCCGTTATCGATACTGAAATTATCAGTTGGTAAGCCATATATATTCCATTGCCTTATGACAACAGGTTCCCCTAAGATTTGGGTGAGTTGAAAATCCTTGCTACAGACTATTTCGAATCCCGTCAAGGCTTCCACCCATTGATCAACTTGTTTGGCTCTGAACTGCATCGTGAAAGGTCCAAGGTATGCTACGACACCTGCAGCTATCAGGATATCTCCTATAAGTAAAATAATTGGTCAAAAACTAAGTGGTCAACATTGGAGACAAGATATCATATTTGAATAGTCATAACTGACATCCTCAACAATTGAGTTAAAGAGCGCTCGTTTCATTGATTATCAAATTCTATTGGGTGATTTGTTTCAGCATTTCAGATAAGATATTACTGGATTCCAGCGAGCACAAAAACATCTCAGAGATGTTAAAAGTACGAGATTTCGAGACATTGAACCTCCACTGCGATGCTCTGTTCACATATGAATAGAACTATTATAGAACAGCCTATGTTCGCCGCAGGCGGCAATTATCGAGATGTCCTTGATATGTAACAAAACTACCTTCTCCCTAGTTCTTTTTAAAGCCTTTTCATGGACACAACAGAACATTTTCAACGCGTCTTGCGCACATTAAATCGCTGTAAAAAAACATTTTCGAGGTACTTTTCTGAAGCCTTTTATCAAAATGAACTTTTGCATTAGGATTTCATTTCCCTTGAATGAAAAAATGCATTAAAAATAGATTGAACATAAAAATATTTTCTTGATATGAAATTACCTTCTTAATCGGTTTCTGAGTAGTGCTTAATACACACAGACATATAATTGGAAATAGGTTTCCCAATTTTTGAAATGTTCTCCACAATGAATAATTTTGCAACTGCAAAGAAGCTTTCGTGTATTGATGAATTCGTACTTTTATATATTGATTACACTGAGGCACCGAACAGCACATCTTGCATCTGATGGTCATTATTACAAACTAAATAAGTCTTCTAACACAATAAACTTCACCAAGTTCCTTTCTGTTCGTTAGCAGCGTGATGTAAGCGTGACACGCTGCAAATGCGAATGCCAATTGCCGACAAGAAGAACAAAATCGAAAACAAATCAGAATTCATCGTATTGTGACGTAAGCATGAGACGTTGTGGTGGGGCAAACAAATAAAGGGCACAAAAGAACAAAAACAATACTTTCAATATCCTTCTAAGACCTCTTTGGGAAGTGCATATTACGCCTCAAAAAAACATCCTCATGCCTACATTTCTAAAACATCCCAAAATATCCCAGGGATGCCTCTCAGTAGGCAAACAAAGAAATGCCACAGAAGAACAAAAAGAATACTTCAATATCCTTCAAAGACCTCTTTGGTCAGTGCATATTACGTCTCAAAATAACATCTTCATGCCAACATTTTCAAAACATCCCAAAACATCCCAGGGATGTTTGTGCTCGCTGGGATGATACATAATACTTTACAATATGTCAACATTTCCAAAGGACTTCCGTTAAGCATGCAGAAAGTTTTTGTAATTTTCCAATTCCACATAATGTATTATTTGTCTTTGCTCTAAACACAAGCGATAAGTTGTCCACAGAATCTTCAAGAACACAAAATGTTTCGCTATCAGAGAATTTTCTTCAAGTCGAATACTTGTTCATAGTGTCCTTATTCGCTAGATTCCGGCAGTTTTTCCTATTTCCAGAACAGCTAGGGAAAAACTGACCAAGGGGTGTAAAGCTCGATTTTAGTGAAACGTCGATTGGTGGAAACCGCATTGCAATATTTCTAACCGTTTTCGAGATATAGGCAAAAATTGACATTTGACCGATTTCGAAAATATGCCATAACATTAGAATTACAGCAGAGAGTGAAAAATATATAGCTTAAATAACACCTTTACAACTCTTGAACGCCGAGAAATCAGTGAAGAAGAGATTCCATCTTTGTCTCGATCAAAATGGTGGACAATTCGAACACTATTTGTGATCTACTGAAAATTAAACCGTTGAAGAGTTTTACATTCCACAGTTATGCTATGAATACATCAATATGAAAGATGTTGTGCTTGTCGGATAATATTTGCCATAACGCAATACTATATAGACTGCATTTTTAGCTATGTTCTCAAAAGTGCAGGCCATTTTCAGACAACACTACAATATGTTTGAGGTGAAATGTATATTATTTCTGTTGGAACTGCGCTCAGTATGTCCCAAAGGTACACTTTTTCCTTAGTTCATGCTCTCAGGAGAATGATAAATTATTATTCGTTGATCCTTATTTACTAGAAGGTGAAATCTTTCTTCTGTGCTTATTCTGGAACTACACACAAAACAAAGATTCCTCTTCTCAAGAAAATATATGTATTCGCGGATAAATAATAAACAAATATTGTTGTTTAGGGTGAACTAATCTTTTTGAAAAAATATTATGATTTCTTTCACTTCATTGATTCATTCTTGAATCGAGTATTAACGTTATGTTGATTCAAAATGAATCATTCATCCATCGACCACATTTTCAGGTTGAGACATTTTGTTTTGTGAGGTTGACTGCATACGGAACGTTTCAAATGTGTGAATAAAATCAGACTCCCTATCGAAATTATTGTATATCTTTCATATTGAAAACTGTTGAATTGTTAATCATTGGCAAACAATAACATCTTCTTGGTCATCTCTCGTTTTCCAGATTCATTATATCTGACTTTTCCTCAGCAAAAAATGAAAAATCACTTTATTGCACAATTTGGTCGTTAAAAAATCTTCAATCTTTTGTCGAGAGCAGTATCCTAATCTTGAATAGGAACATAAATCACTCAGAATTTTCACGATCTGAGTATCCCGTGATTCAGATGATATGACATTTGTATGAAAACCGAAAGTTGATTTTTTCCAAATATGTCAAATTGTCATCTAGTGGGTATATTCTATGTTCCAAATTTCAGATATAGGTATAGCTAGAGAAACGAAGAAGTTGTACCATGAGCCTGTGTCACATGGTATAACCTTCTCTTCTTCCTATAATCGGGTTGTAATAAAGATGTTGAGAAAAAGAAATTGACGTGAAATATCCAATTATCATCATCATATGACAATGCTCGACCATAAGGTTTCAATAGGCTTTCTTCTCTCATTTTCCTTCATCAATCAAGAGTTATGAGATCTAAGTTGTTGAATGTAATTTCCATGTTTCAACCGATGAAAGAATGAATATTAATCTACCTATGAACATATTTCCTGAGGAAACCCATCAGGGAACAAAATAATGGTTACCCTGACAATATCCTGATTACTTTAAGTACCACCAGATTCGTATTGTTACTTCTATCATAAAACAATATGAAATATTGTTGCTATAACAAAATATCTGGTTGTGTCCATACTAACTATACCGGGTGTATAGGCAATTTCTCGTTTATTTGACAAGATGAAAGAAAAATTCAAAAACTGCGTTGAATGGCATTGAATTACCTTCCTCATGACATATAAAAAATCTATTACATTCGACAGTTCTCTGACGGCTATCCCCCACTTTTTATTCTCAAATGGCACCCCCTGTATATTGTCCTTGAAAATTGCGTGCCATCCTATAAGGAATACAACGATAGCATATACTTGGTATTTTTTTTATTGTTGTAACAAAAACAGCAACATTTAATGAAGCATGAGTATCACCCAAAATAGCTTTTGTGCAAATCAAAAAATGAACTAAAAATCACAGCCAGTGTTCAGAATTATTATTACATGGAAAGCATCGGCTTCTTGGAACAAAAAACATGAGCGGCGGCAATATTTCATTTTTATAAGGATGATTGAGTAACTTGAAACGAGTCACAAAATGTTGATATTCTTGGTATCAATAAGAATATTCCAAGTATACGCTATCGTTGTATTCCAAATTGAGTGACACGTAATTTCCAATGAAAATATACAGGGGATGCCATTTGAAAATAAAATGTGGGGGAGGGGTACCTGCCATAGAACTGTCAAATATAATGAATTTTTTTATATGTCATTTGAACTAAGCGAGATATTGCCTGTATACGATAACTTGGAACACCCGGAATAATTTTCTAGCGTGAAAACTGTTGTTGAATTGGAGAATTGGAAGTTGCGGGTATCGCTAAATGGATGAAGAGCTATATTCAGCTGGAATATTCGAGAGCTACTCAGACTTCTTCTTGAACAGGAAGAGGGTTAAAACTGTGTTGATAATATTTCCAAAATCACGTGAATTAGTCTCTTCGCGTCTCACTTATATTTGGGTAAGAATTCTCTGTCTAGTGAGAATCTAGTATTGTATACGCATGTTATTAGATCTACGACTCATTTTTCTTTCTACCTGTCAGTAAATAATATTTCTCCCCCAACTCTTTCGCTATCGCCTTCCATCTTTCTTTTTCTCCTCCCAAGCCACCGATCAATTCTTCTGCCCTCTGCAACTTGAGCTGACAAAGGTTGACTTCATCAGTGAGTTTGTTGAATTTTTTGGTTTCACCTTCCAGTATGACTTCTAATTTGGCAACACGTTCTCTGGCTTCACGAAGAAGGCCCCTCTTCAGTTCCAGTGCAGCCATAGCAGTTTGAAACGAATTTTCTGCAATAGCTAAGGCGGCCTTCTTGGGAGCGACCACTCTAGCTACTTTATCGTATTTTGATATAGCAATCACCCATTTGCAGAGACCTTGAACAAATAGTAATTTTTTTCTGACAATTGGATTTCATGATATCTTTAAGTCGAGTATTTATAAATAATGGAAGAAGCAAAACATATATTTGTCTCCACGAATTCCAATCTATAGGTGATTCAGGTTTTGAGGTCCAAACTAAAATAAGTGATAGATCTCATTTTCATTGAAAAAGTTTATATTAACATGAGTCCGATCCCGATCAGGAGTTTGGTTAGGTTTTTCTATCAATTAAAATATCTCGCTCACTTATGAAGATATAAATTTGAAGTTTGGAGTGGTTGATACATTTTAGGAATTCATCATTTCAAGCATTCTACATCCGGTTCCATAAATGTGGTCAAACCGTGCCTTCACAAGGAGTTGACTTTATCAAAAAGTCAACTTAAATGTTGTCAAAAAGTCTGATGCGTTCTATAAAGTAAAACCAAACGTCCTTCACTTGAAGATTCGTATATCCACTTGCCGTTATATCGAACGCACTGGATTTGGTTTGAATGAACTATTTTCACAGAACTGACGTTGCCAATTGAATTTGTTATATTTAATATCAAATTTTACTGCATTACAATTGATGAGCATATAGAATCACAATCGGAGCCAAGAAGCAAAAAAGCACAACATTCACCAAAGAAGACAAAAAAAGCTTGTTGAATGCAATTTATGCCGAGCGTCATATCATTGAGAATAAGAGGAAACTCATGAAGGAAGAGAGCCAGTTTAGAGGAAATGTAGATAGAACAGAAGAAGAGCACCAAAAAAAAATTGTAGAATTAGGAGTTGAAATCAAGAGGGCAGAGCTGAATCGAATGAAAGAAAATAATTCATGAAATAAAAACAATATAAGGTTTGATATAAAATTCGTTGAAAAAATATGTTTTCATAAATTGCCAAAATCTTTTGTGATAATGGGCGTATATCACAAGAAAAAATATTTCATAATTCGATAGAACTCACCCAAACTAGCTCACCACCGCAAACCGTTTCTTGCTGTGAGCTCCCTACGTTTTATAAAAAATTATTGAAATCCCAGATTTTTCGGACCTCTGAAAACGAAGCGATGATGTGACGTCAAAACCCTATAACTGAAACAAGACTATTCCAGGCACAGATGAATGATACATGATTTCTGACAATGTGAATTAGCGCGAGATCACAGTTGAAAGAATTAATATATCAGTTGCCTCAGACTCCGTCGGGCGTTTGGTATTTTCCTTTAACTATGGCGAGATGAGGTTTCTACGTCATAAAATGGTCCGTTTTCAGAAGGTACTATTATTTATGTCCAAAAATAAAACATTTCAGTTAATTTTTTGATCGAATTATGTCGTCAATCATTATTTATGTATAGAAGGATCATTATAAACATGGTTTGAGTTGAAAGTTCTACTAAGGTGTACACGCCCATTGATATAAAACTATGAGCATTCTAATGCTGTCATGACATTAAGAATATCAGCTGCATTGATCATTAATTATTTTTTCCTCTCCATATCTTCATTGAATCACCAGCGGTTATCAATAATTTTCCTATTGCATATAGAATCGTAATGCAAACATGAATTGATCCATTTGTTTGATGCAACCACCTCAGTTATATTATTCCTCTTAAATATATGAATGGTAAGAGGACCTATTCGTAGGATGATTTGTCAGAGGTACAATTTTCTGTAGGCTTCGTCAAGCGATATCTCTGGAAAAATTTTCTGGAAACCAATATAATCTCTTCTCCACTTTCTGACGATAAACTACTACTACTATCACTAGAACTTTTCATTGAACTGCTTCATATGATGATCTTCTAGAAAGTATTGGCCACACCAAATTGAAAATTGATATTTTCAGAAGTGAGCGAGATCTTTCGATTGATAGAAAAAAAATTCAACTTTGTTCTACTGTATGTCCGCTAATGATAGAGATCGGACACATATGTTAACAAACTTTTTCGATCAAAATGATGAAATCTATCACGCATTCCAGTTTGTAACTTAGAACCTGAATCATCCTGTATACCTATGTCAATTCTCAATGAAAATTGTCAAGAAGAGGAAGAGGATCATACTAATTAAATGAGATGTTTTTGTAGAAATCGCCAAAGGTAATCACTGGAATACGTGGTGTGTGTATTCACATTACCTCTAAATACCATGAAATTCCATGGTAATTATAGCTCTTGCACTCACCTTCTGCGGCAGTAGAAGCAGTTTTCACCTTATCTGGATCAAAACTTTCATCAGTGAGAATTTGGTGTTTCAGTTTATCTATTATTCGAGGTGGAATATTGTCCTTATCAAAGTTAATGAGACTGTCAAGGAATTTCATGTCACCCAGCACTTTCAATGACGGTCCCCAGTAGTCGTCTACTTGTCCGATACCACTGGGTGCTGGTATTCTTTGAGGCTTAACGTCCTGAAAAATCAACAAATCTGTAAAGCGGAACCTGAATGTGAATCATTTTGATCGTGCAGGCTGAGGTTAGGGTAAATCTTCAACTACAGTACTCACCAACATTTCTTCTATTATCACCACTCTTATAAATCCGAATGAAAAATAATGTTCGTTTATACCACAGGCAATGATATGACGGAAGAGCACATCTGTGACTCAAATAGAAAAGGTACTCAGACGATTTTTTAGGATATTATGATCACGACATGGACTTGACTTCGATTATGTTGAGTAGCAAAGGAAGTTTCATTCGCCAACATTCATCACATTGCTATGAAATGATTTAATCTCTGCTTACATATGGCTGATACCCACTTTCCAACTTCAAATACAGAAATGAGTAGATAGCCGATTCCATGTTGATGAAGACTCGAGAATTCCTGTGATAATTACGACATGGACTTGACTTCGATTATATTGGGTGGCAGAAGAACTAACTGAACCTAACATGAATATACGTATTTCAATGAAGTGAAGTTTCATTGGCCAGCATTTATCATATCGCTATCAGAAGATTTTATCTCTGCTTACATATGGCCAATACCAACTTCCAAACTTCAAATATAAATATGGGTAGATGGCCCATCCCATGTTGGTGAAGACACAACAATCCCTAGACAATATCAGGTTCCATGTTCGACTCAACGTTTTCTAATGACCCATTGCCAAATTTGGACGTCATTATATGTATATATCCATACCACTATATGCTACCAGAGAAAAGTAAAACTGACGTAAACGAAGTTGATCATGTTGATTACATCATTCTACAAGTATAATTACATCATTTTCAGCATCTACTGATGTGAAAAAGCATCAAAACACAATATCCAGTAGCTCGAAATATCTCTGCCAGATATCGGTTCTGCCCAATAGGATGAATTCCATTAGGCATTATAATTAGCGTCAATATGTATTCATTTTAATCGAAAAAATCATGTTTTTGTTACGGTTCAGTAATCTTACTGTCCGATTGTGATGTACTGCCACTACTGTGGCAACAATGCAATGTATGCGCACAAGCGCCACCTATTTCCGTTAGATTAGAAAAGTAAGAATTGAAGAAAGGAACTCAGTCTCGCTACGCTCTCTCTACTAGTATGTATGTATGTATGTAATGTCATAATGTAAAGTGTCTGACGGATATTCAATAAAATAGAAAGTGCTAGTAAAGTAATGGTTTTATTGCTAGTCTAGTACAGTACAAATGGCGACGAGGATAAAAATGAAGAATTAAACCAAAAGCGGGTCAAATCAAGTCAAGAAAGCCTTGTGAGAATATTAGTGCACGTGCTTATCAGACCTTGAAAAACAAGATGGCCTCCGCCGGTGTTCCAAAGTTTTACGAATTTCAAGCTGATGTTGATGATTGGACTATATACGCTGAGCGTATGGATCAACATTTTGCAGCAAATAAAATAATTGATGAAGCGATCAAAGTTGCTATACTTCTCAGCAGTATTGGACCTGAAACCTATAAGTTGCTTAGAGACTTATCATTTCCCACTCTACCAAAGGACAAATCATTTGAGGACCTTTGTAAGCTGCTGAAATCACAATATTCAACTGTATCCAGTGTTTGGAAGGAACGAAAAATTTTTTATGGACTATCCCAAAATGACCTTTCAGTAGTGGACTGGTATGCAAAATTACGAAGCAGTGCCACGAGGTGTGAATTTGGAAACGACCTGATCAAAATTCTGAAGGACAAATTTGTGACTGGACTCTCGATGAACAAAATTTTCGACCGTCTATGCGAAGAGGATTGTACGAAATCGCTGGAGGAGTTGATCAGTTTGGCTCAAAAAGTCGAGAATCACGGAAATTATGCTTCAGTCAGGTATGTTTCAAATCACGCGCCTCAAAAACGTGATGGGCGTGGTTTCCGGCAACAGCAGCGCAGATGGCAACCACAAGAAACTGAACTGAAGTATGACAAGCATGACAGAAGACCAGGGTCAATGGACAGAAGAGGAAATGATAGAAATGTCGGTAATGTAGATCGCGGAACATCAAATGTCAGATTTCAAAATATGACAAATTTGACAAATAGTTGTCAATATAATAAAAATAAATGCAAAATATGTACAAAAATTCACAAGGGAGAATGTGTATTTAAAAATTCAAGATGTTTCAAATGTAAACAAGTTGGACATGTTACTAAAGCTTGTAAAATGTTAAATAGAAGGGTAAATTTTCTGAATGATACTGATGAATCTGAAAATAGTGACTGCAATGATGATTTAAACAATGATGACATTGAACATGAAAATTATACCTTATTCAATATCACTAGGAAGAACAAAGATGATTATTGTTCAAATATTCTCATTCCTATCAAAATTAATAACATTGAATATCAATTTTTACTGGACAGTGGTTCAGCAATATCAGCAGTAAGTTATGATAGTTATGCTAAAGAATTTTCAAATTTCAGAGTTGAAGGAGACAGCACACTGTTGAAGGGATACAATGGTGAAACTTTCATGCCAGAAGGCTATTTTCAACCAGAAGTCATATACAATGGTCAGAGCCAAAAGATGAGATTATACATCGTCCAAGGTGGTGGGCCAAACCTGCTTGGTCGAGATTGGTTGAAGGTATTTAAAGTTCAAATCAATTTGGTTAACAATATATCAGTCAGCAATGAAATCAAAAGAGTTATAGATGAAAATTCAGAGCTATTCACTGAAAAGATAGGAAAATACAAACATTGTAAGATATCATTAGATCTCATAGAAAATTCAAAACCAGTTTTCTGTAAACATCGTCCTGTTCCCTTGGCGTATCGAGATAATGTAGAAAATGAGTTACAAAAATTAGAAAATGAAGGAGTTATTGAACCAGTAGAGCATAGCGAGTGGGCCACACCTTTAGTGCCAGTTTTGAAACAAAACGGAGAGTTAAGGTTATGTGGAGATTATCGCAGCACTCTAAACAGGTATTTGGTTGACTTAACATATCCACTGCCCCGAATAGAGGAAGTTTTATCCAAACTAAGTAACGGAAAATTCTTTTCAAAAATTGACATTCGTTCAGCTTATGAACAAATTGAGGTGACAAATGAATCATCAATGATTCTTTGTTGGAATACCCATAAGGGGTTATTCAGAATAAAACGACTTCCATTTGGAATTAAAACAGCAACTGCAATTTTTCAAAAAAATAATGGATCAGCTACTACAAGGACTTGATGGCGTAGCTTGCTTTCTGGACGACATTGTAATCACGGGAGCAACTGCCTCAGATCACATCAAAAATTTAGAAAATGTGTTTAGGAAACTTAAAGATTCAGGATTCACTTTAAAATCTGAAAAATGTTCATTTTTTCAATCTGAGATAACTTACTTAGGTCACAAATTGAGTAAAGAGGGAATTAGAAAAACTGAAGATAAAGTTTCAGCTATTGTAAATGCACCTATACCAGAAACAATAACAGCAGTTAGGAGTTTTGTAGGAATGGTAAATTATTACTCAAAGTTTGTTCCCAGATTATCGACGATCTTGCATCCAATTTACAATTTGCTTAAAAATGAAACTAAGTTTAGTTGGTCTGAAAATTGCAACAAAGCATTCAATGAAATCAAAAGAATTATAAGTTCAGACAAAGTATTAGTTCATTTCGATCCTAGTTTACCCATAGTTTTAACCACTGATGCTTCCAATGTGGGAATTTCTGGTATTCTTGCCCATATAATTGATGGAAAGGAGCACACAATTGCTTGTGTGTCTAGAACTATTGCATCTCATGAAAGTATATATCCCACTGTCCAGAAAGAAGCACTGAGTATTTATTTTTCAGTAAATAAGTTCTACCAATATCTTGTAGGGAATAAATTCATATTAAAAACTGACTGCAAAGCATTAGTGTCACTTTTTGGTGAAAATAAAAGCATACCTCAGATGTCAGCTAACAGATTACAACGTTGGTCAGCTTTTCTATCAATGTTCAATTACACTGTTCAATATATTAAAGGTTCTGATAACATTCTGGCAGATTATTTCAGTAGAAATCCAGTAGTAACAGAGAATTCTGAAGGTGATCAAGAGAAAGGATTATATATTAATTCCACTGAAGCACAAGAATCATGGCCTTTGAAAAATGATGAAATAAAAAAGAAAACAATTGAAGATGAGGATCTCTCAGAAGTAATGAAATACATTAACCAGGAAAAATGGCCAAAAATAGTTGATGGTAAACTGAAATCATACTTTGACAAACGTTTTGAACTAACTGTAGAAAACGGGATAATTCTATGGGGTCATCGATTAGTGATTCCAAAGGTTTTGAGGAAACAAATATTAAATGAATTGCATTCTGGCCATTTTGGAATAGTTAGAATGAAGTCTTTAGCAAGATCAGTAGTATATTGGCCAAATATCGATTCGGAGATAGAGGAAATTGCGAAATCATGTTTAGCTTGTATATCAAATAAAGATAATCCACCAAAAACACAATTGACTCCATGGCCAATAACAAATAAACCTTTTGACAGAATACACATTGACTTTCTAGGGCCTTTAGATGGTAAAAACTACCTAATTATAATAGATTCATTTTCAAAATGGATTGAAATATTTCAAATGAAACTAACAACTCCATATGAAACGGAAGATAAGTTGAGAAAAACCTTTTCAAGGTTTGGCATTCCTAAAACACTAGTCAGTGACAATGGACCTCAACTAACGAGCAAAAGTTTAAAATCATTTTTGAGTAAAAATGGCGTAAATCACATACTCACACCACCTTACAATCCAATGAGTAATGGTGCAGCAGAAAATGCTGTAAAAACATACAAAAATAAGATCAAAACAGCACTTTCAGATCCTAGAAATTCAAATGTTCCAATTCAAACCATATAATATCTAGATTTCTGTTCGCATATAGGACAACACCACATTTGGTGACAGGAAAAACACCATTTTTTCTAATGTATGGTAGGGAAGCAAGAACAAGATTG